GTTCTGATACTTTATTTGTGGACCATAGAGTTGGAATCTTGTATAATTTTTGCATATCATGAATTTTATGTTTTTTTTATTTTTTTAAACATTAAAAAAGAAAATCAACAAACTCTCTATCCTCAGTTCACAGTGTGGGCCATCTCAAAGTAGGCAGTGGGCAGTATTATCTCTACAAGGTATAATTTGCAGACCCCTCATCTAAGCTATGAAACTTTAAAGTCAATTTCTGATATTACAACATATGTGCAGTGACTGGAAAAGATGAAAAGTGAGAAGACAATAATTAGAGAACTCATAGTTTGTAGATGTTATCGGATTTACTCATTATAAAAATCTCTTCGAATTATGCATTGTATTATTTTCACCATTTTATACAAGTGGACAGGAGGGTTCAGTGACATAAAATCAGTGTTTATGACAAGACTATCTGATCTCAAAGTTCACATGTTTTTGTCTTCAAAGTCATACTTGTGAGTTTTCCCTTAGAAAGGAACAATAGACCTTGAAAGTGGAGAGAGCCCAGTTTATTTTTTTGTTAGTTGCTCTGACGTCAATTCCAAACGCATCTTTCCCATTGTGTTTTGTGTTACCCTTTGCGCTCCCAGAAGACAATGTGGTGGATACTTTTCACATTGTACAGGGCGCCTGCCCAGGTATTTTTTTGACCGCGTAGTTTTGAGGCTGTGACAAACTACCCAAGGGCTTTAAGCAGTGAACTGACATGATCGAATATTTGTTTTAGAAATGTAGTGTTGAGATTTCAGGCTGCATTTTAGAACAGTAACCCAGCAACTAATGCTGAGTTGACATGACATGAACAACTTATATAACAAAAACAAAGATGCAACTATAAAAGGCTATATTCATTTGAAAGAGTAGAAAGATAGTCTAAGTTTTTAAAAAGGGCTATATATTTTATGCACAAAGGGAGCTGACAAAATAGACATAAAGTATGTACAAAATAGAACTGTGTTTTATCTTACATTTAACCTAAATGTTATATAAAATAAATGTTAATTACAGAGCTAATGTTTATTTTGTTTACTTCTTAGAGTTTTTCAAAGAGAATGATTCAAATTTTGTTCTGAAGTACAATGTTAAATTACTTGCTAAAAAATTCGCATAATCTTAACTACAGAGATACCACCTGTAAGTGCAACTTTCATTACATGAAATGATGAATGTACTGGTATATAAATTGAAGAATTGTACATAAAAGCAAATCACTGGAAAAAAATTAAATCTTATTGATATAGAATTAGTTTATAAATTATTGCATAGTCATAAAATGGAATAGTGTATAGTTTTTAAGATGAGATGGTTCTGCATAAATTGTTACTGAAAGTGTTCCAAGGTAAATTATTTCATTTTTGAATAGTTACATATTAGTATATATCATTATGTAGAACATATCTCTCCTTATCAAGATCAATGTAAGTTTGTGTTCATATGTATTTTTTTCTGTGTGTGTTAAAAGATACATCAATCCTAAGGGGGGGGAGTTCCACTATATATATATATATATGAAGAAAACTAGTTAGCTCTAACTAGTAAAAGATGCCTCCAGTAGTCAAGGAAATAAGAAGCACTTTCTTTTCTAAATTTGTAAGCTTTCATACTTTCTGAATTTTGTACCAGAACTTATATCTATATATTACTTCTTTAAGGTTTAAAGACAGTTATCAAAATAAATCTAAAATGGCCAATTTCTTTATTTTGTTTCAGTATTCATATAGCTAGTCTTTACAGACAAAATTTCTCCATCAAACAGTCCTTTTTTTAAAGATTTATTTATTTATATAAGAACTGGGGTACAGGTCAGAGGCGCAGGAGGGTGAGAGAATTCACCAGAGACAGAGTGGGGAGCAGATCAGGAAGATGGACTAAGGACACTGCTGAGGGAAGTAGGGGGCAAGGCAGGAGAGGTCTGTTGCGCCATGTGGGTTTCTCCCTGGTGGGCTGGGAATCGAACCCGTGTGGCAGAGGCTGAGGACAGCTTCACAGCATGGCGCTCAACCCACTGTGCCACCGGGGAGGCCCCATCAAACAGTCCTTTGCCTAATGTAACACATATTCCATAGATGCTTGTGTTTGTAGCTGTGCCTTCTTCTGTTGCTGATGTTTCCTCAACTTTAAAGGAAAGAGTTGATCTTTCCCTAGTTTTTGCTGAAGTTCCCAGCTTATACAAAGGGAACCCATAGTCTCTATTCACAGCAGTAATATATTAATAGTGCTAAACACTCCTGTGCCAAAGTGCTACTTGCAAGAGGAAACTGAGTGACAAAATACTTAGAAAACCTCTCCATGGCCATAGAACTGCTAAACACAGATCTGGAATTAAACAAGGGCAGTCTGTCTCCACCATGTTCCACAGCACACCCTACATCACTGGTATCAAAATATCAGTCACAATGAAGCATCTGCTTCTGCTTTGACCCTACTATTTCCAGCAGTCCTTGCTTTCTTGTATTAGGCTACTAAGTAAGGTCCAAATCCCTTAGTTTGGCATAATAAACCTGCAAGATCTTACATCCTCTACCAGTTCCTGCTCACCTACCACATCAGTCTCTTACCTGGTCACACTGCATAGAGCTTCCTGAAGGATCCATGCTGACTCTTACCTCCCTAAATCCATATAGCTTTGCTCTGGAAACACCCCTCTTTCTTCTTCTATGCCTAACTGGTTCCTACTCACCTTTGAGAGTCCAGATAAAACTTATAGCCCCAATGATGTTTCCTTTTCCTGAAATATTATCCCCCATTTTATACCACCCAATATACATATTCAAGCCACACCTCCACATACCACATGCTCAGCAGCCTGAATTGTTAGCCCATGTTCCCATTAAGAACAACTGTCCACTGTGCTATAGTTGGGTGGTTGCATCCCCCTTTTACACAATGCTGGGTACTCACTGTTGGCAGCAATATTATGGGTGCAAATCTTTCTCAATATATTGGTAAATAATAGGAGTTCAAAGCACTATTATAAATGAGAAAAAACAACAAAAAAGGAACACAAACCAAGCCAATCCACAAAAATAACAAAATTGCAATGAACATTTATGTCTCAGTTATCACTTACATGTAAATGGCCTGAATTCACCCATAAAAATGTGCAGAGTAGCTGAAAGGAGTTCAAATTAAGTCCAACCACCTGATATTTCACAGAAACCCATCTTGCCATCAAAGACAAGTGCAGACTTAGAATTAAGAACTGGAAGACTGTCATACCAGCAAATAGCAACCAAAAATAAATAGATAGATAGATAGATAGATAGATAGATAGATAGATAGATAGATCAGGAACATCTGTACTTAGATGAAATAGAATTCCCACTACAAATTTTTGTGCAAGATAGAAATGGACAAAATATTATTAAGGGCCTATCACAAGAAAAGCAAATAATACTCATAAGTATAATACACTTAATGACAGAGCTCTTTGACACAGATGACATTTAAAAACAGAACCAAAAGAGATATGCAACAGCACAGTCATATTAGGGGATTTTGATGCCACACTTACAACAATGGAAAGATCAACAAGACAAAGAATTGACAAGCAAATAAAAAACTTAAATGAAGATCTATATCAAATAGGTCTAATAGACATCTACAGAACACTTATACCAGAAAAGCCATTGCTTACACATATTTTTTCAAGTGCACATGAAACACTATCACAAATCGACCGTATGTTGAAAAACTGTTCAATTCAATTTTCAATACAACTACAAAGATCAAAATTAAGTATTCTGACTATAATGCAGTAAACTTTAGAAATAAATTATAAAATAATAAAAAAACCAGGAAAAATTTAATACATGGAGATCAAACAATATACTGCTTAATAGCTCTTGGATAAAAGAGAAAACTGAAACAGAGATCTAAAAATACCTTGAGATGAACAAAAATGATGGTACAAGCTTCCAGAATCTATTGGTTGCAGCTAAAGTGGTCTTAAGAGGGAAGATATTTGCAATATCAACTTACGTAAAAAAGCAAGAAAAATCTCAAATAAACAACGTACTATACCTAAAGAGACTTTATAAAGAGGAACAGACAAGACCCAAAGTTAATAAAAGGGTGGAAACAAAAATAAGAGTGAAAATAAATGAAGTAGGGATCAAAAAGACTATACAAATGAAAACATAAACAATGAAACTAAGAGTTGATAATTCAAGAAGATAAACAAAATAGAAAAAAAAAAACCCTCTAACATATAAAAGTGAGAAATTAAAGATAGAACAAAAATACAAAGGATCTTTGAGATTGCTGTGGACAATGATATGCCAATCATTCTATAACATTGAAGAAATGGAAAAATTTGTAGATCAATACAATCTACAAAGATTAATCCAGGAAGGGAAAGATGAGTTGAACAAATCAATCACAAGCATGGAAATTGCAACAGCAATAGAAACTTGAAAAAAGAGGAACAAACAAGACCCAAATTCCTAAAAACAAAAGCTTAGGATTAGATGGCTTTGCAAATCAATTTTATCAAATCTTTAAAGAAATAATGTCCATCTTGCTCAAAAATTAAAAGACACACACACACACAAAACAAACCAAAAATTGTTTTTTAAAATACAAAAGGAGGGAATGATCCCTAATATATTTTATGATGCTCACATTACCCTAATGCTGAAACCAGATAAAAAGAGCATGAGAAAATTAGGGACAAATATTCCTGATGAATATCAATGCAAAAATTTTCAACAAAATACTAGTATATCAACAATATATAACAAAGTGAGTGAACAACATTTGAGTGAACAACATTTACCCAGGGATGCAAGGATAGTTTAACACATGTAAATCAATCAACGCAATACATCATTTTTTTTTTTTAATAAAAACAATTCCACAGAATTTATTGCCATCTGGTAATAACATAAGGGTAATCCAAACAATAGGAACAAATGTTTCAGAACTATCGTCCCAATAAAGAACAGGTAAAAAAAGCTAACTGAATTATCTTCACAACCATCCCTCACTTGATTGATCTTTTCTAGTTGGAGACACTTTGGAGCAGAGTAATGTTATCACCTTTCAGCATGATCCAACCCAGTTGTTTTCTTGGCTTTGTTTTAGAATGAATCTCTTCTGCGTCTAATACAAGGTTCATATACTCATCAAAACCAATGACACAGCCCTCTATCCGCATATTCACTTGCTCATAAAGCCACACCTGAATCCAAGATCGATTTTGCAAGTATCTGAAGATGAGGTTGATGGCCTGCACCATCACCTTCTGCACTTTCTGACCCTGGCCGCGGTACACCATGGTGGAAGCTCACAAAGACCACACATCATTTAAACGAAAGTAAATATAAAGATCATATGGTAATATGAATAGAAGCAGAGAACGCATTTACATAATTCAGCACCCTTGTGTTATAAAAACTCCAAGCAAGATGAAAACAGAAAGAACCTACAATATTGTAACAAAAACCACATATTACAAAGAAATCTAATATATATTTTTAAAGATTTATTTACTTATACAAGAACTGGGGTACAGGCCAGAGGCGCGGGAGGGTGACAGAATTCACCAGAGACAGAGCGGGGAGCAGATTAGGCGGATGGACCAAGGACACTGCTGAGGGGAGTAAAGGGCAAGGCAGGAGAGGTCTGTTGCGTGTGGGTTTCTCCCTAGTGGGCTGGGAATCAAACCAGTGCTGCAGAGGCCAAGGACAGCTTCACAGCGAAGCACTCAACCTGCTGCGCCACAGGGGAGGCCCCACAATCTAATATTTAATGGTAAAAAACTGAAAATTTTCCATTTTGCGATCAGGAAAAGCAAGATGCCAATGCCCACTTGTCACCAATTTGTTTAATTTACTAGTAGAGGTTTTGGTTAGAGTAATCAGACAACAACAGGAAATTAACTTTCCATCTCCTCCATAAGATATTTTTGGAAATATTTTAGACAATGATAGTAACTCTCGCTGACATCTTAGAAGTCTATTCCATTCTTTTGGCATATTGTTAATTAAAATCAACAGGGGATCACATACAGCTCTGATTTGTTTTGAACTTTTTTTAAAGTATTATTCTTGATTCCTTACTGGCAGTAACCTTTAAATGTGTATGCCTGCTAGGTATTTCCAAGCTGTGTCCCTCCAAGTAACTCAGACTCATTTCCTTATTCTATTCTATTCTATTCTATTCTATTCTATTCTATTCTATTCTATTCTATTCTATTCTATTCTATTCTATTCTATTCTATTCTATTCTATTCTATTCTATTTTTTACTGCAATGAGTTGAATTGTTACAGCTTTTTAATTGCTTCTGGGATAATTTTGGGGTCAAAAATGATTCAATCTTCTGGTATACAAGATTTACTCATATAAACTTTTATCTGAGGGATTTACTCATAAGAATGTATTTTAGCCTTACTAAAGCCCTGTGATGTAGTTCACGATAGCCAAGGAAATTGAGGGACAAGGAGGATGAAGGACGTTGCAAAGCCACACAGCTAATAAGAGACAGAGGTGATATTCACCCCAGGTAGCCAGTCACCAGAGATCATGCTCATAAACATAGCACTACCTTGCCACTCATACCTGGATGCATTTAAAAGGATTATAAAAACCCTGCACAAGTGCAATTAAATGACTCATTTACTTAGAAACACTCCCTCTCTCAGGTCCTATGACCATCAACATTTCATTGTGTACTTTTGAACTTTTTGAGTGGTTTGGCCCTCACAATTCTCTATTCAGTGACTAAAACTGTTTCTTCAGGACATACCTATCTGGGAATGAAAAAGATTTTGATTGCATGACTTACACACCACCTTCTATTGCAGCAAGACCTATAACCACTTCTGGGAATCAGAGTTGACACCTCCCCCATCACTTGCCACTGTCCTCTGTGGTAGGGTATCTCCTGTGAGGACCTCCTGGGGTTGTCCCATCAACCACACAGCTTGACAGTGAAAATTCACATCAAGGGGGCTTGTTTCACATGGTCCCAGAGCTGTTCCACCCCCATGGACTCTCACATATACACTTGCTGCTTTGCTGTTTCTGCCTCCAGAGCCATGATCGCTAATGTGCTGTGGGTGAAGGGATGCTCAGAACTAGGCATTTTAAATGCCTGGAAGCTCAGGCTCCTTAACAGAAGGAAACGATACCCTCATTCTATTAAACAAGCATCAAAGCCATCCTATCCTGTCTAATTATCATGTAGAGTTGAGTTAATTAGTCCTCACAGTTTCTTATTTGTAGCTGTTTTTTTTTCTAAGTTTATGAAAGTTAAATCAGAGAGCAAATAGGAGTAACAGATTTTGTATTTTACCAAGCATCTCTAGCTCCTCTCCAACAATACAGGCAATGTCATTGGACATAGTGATGTACCTGACATTTCTTTCTTTCTGGTGAATTCTTCCTTAGTCAGATCACTAACCAACATCAGGATTCTTGTCAAAGATGCAACTTTAAGTTGGGTCCTTCCTCACTTCAAACAACGCTATGGAAAAATATCCTTTTTCAGATAATGTATCACTCCCCTCCTTGATGAAAGGAAGCAGTGTGTACATGTGCGTGCGCGTGTGCGTGTGTGTGAGTTTAGAAAGAATGGAAAGGACAGGTAATGGTTGTTAATTTGGGATATCATAATGAAGGTGAACACAAGCCAGAAAGTGTAAGAGTCGTTAACATTGAAAGAATCTCTGTATTTTGGCATTTCAAAATTTACTGAAATTTGACTTGAGAAAGTGTCCTCCCTTGAAGAAGATGACTGAAACTGCAGACAGCTTCAAACTTGAACCAGCTGGCTAGTGTGTGTGTCCCAGCCACTGTGCAGAAACACCTAGCAGACACCGTAAAGGTGAGGACCGGTAATTGATCATTGAAGATGCATTCCAAGCACACAAGATCTATTTGGAAGTAAGCATCTGGCCCATATACAGACAGTTGCCAGGTGACATGTACTGTGGCAGTCACGAAGCTGGCCTCACACCTGGATGGAGCAGATGAGCTCCCCTGTGCTCGGACAGTGCACTGGGTGTGTTTGCCATGGTCCCAGGAGGAGTCTGGCTCCCGCAGGAGCACATGGTGTCTCCTTTCACTTCCGAGGAAAAGCTGCAATATAATTTATTCAGGACAGGCCTGGATTCTTAATTGGACAGGTGTGTGAAGAAATGCTGGCTGTGAGCACAGCGTGTTCAACTATCGAACTTTTCTGTCGACATTCTTTCAGCACTTCCTGACAGGCTAACCTTAATTCGTTCAGGTCAGGTACTGGCAGGTGGTAGCGCTGGTCAAGAGTGAGAAGAACATGAAATTGTGAAAAATCAAACAGTAACCTCCAGGAGTGATTTCCCCCTCCTCACCCCCTTTTGCAAGTTTCCAAGGGCCAAAGGAAAAAGGAAGCTCTCATCTCTTCTTTCTCTACGATCTGCTACACTGAATCACCATCTGTTGACTTAAATTGGTTAAGTGTTTCCCAGATAGGACCTCTGTCATCGGGATGGAGTTAGAAGAGAGAAGGGAGGGAGGAAGGAATTGGGGGAGAAAAGAGGATTTTGTTTGATTCTTAGAGAGAATCATCGTCAGATAAGATGGACTTTTTTTTTGTAGAGATGAAAATTCAAAGGAGAAAGGTAAAGAAGAAGAGGTAAAGGATGAACAAAGAAATGAACATTTATTCACTTTACATTTTATGCAAGGGCTGTTGCTAGGTTTTAATAAATATCCAATATCCTTCTTCAGTCCCATTTCAGGAAAAAAAAAAAAAACAACTCTTCCAATACAATATCCTATACCATTCATTCTCATGTAATCTAGGATGCTAAGGGACTGGTCACCTGGGTCTTATTTTTGCTTCCAGCATCTATATCCATTGTATGCCTTTGAACATTTGCCATTGCTTTCATATATCTAATTTTCCCTAATGGGAAAAATAGATTAGGAATACTATACTAGTCCTCCCCTGAGAATATACATAAGAAATACTGCCTCTAAGAAATATCAATGGAATGAGGTCTAGCTATCTACAGAATGCTATTATTGATGCTGTTTTGGAAGGTGCTTATGGTTATCAAGCCTGGGAACCAGGCCAAATTGAAACTACACCACCTTTTCTCCAAACGATTAAGTAGTTGCCATTTATCACACCCTAGAAATAATGTCTCCAACACTGTAAGTTAGGTTTGCAGATTAGTCAGATGGTTCCCAGGTAATTACTACAATCAAATGCTCTTGAGCTTAACACATCCCTGAGTACCTCATAAACTCCCACCACCCCAGCCAGGGCAACAGGGGGCGAAGAGCCCAGATGCTACTCTAAGAGTCTGCCATGCTGGTTCATCCCATTTACCTCATGTGACAACTATTCCAGGAATAATGAGATATTCCTGAGCTACAAAAAGTCTCAGCTCTCCAGCTTCCTGCTGAATTTCCCTGCTGCATAAAGGTACAGCTCATTTTCCTCTGAGGGCCACTAGTGGAAAAGGAAGTTGGATGCAATGAGGTGGCCTCCCATGGAGTGACGTTTCCCAGGTGACTTGCCACTTTGGAGTTGGGCTATGTGACAAGACTCACTAAGTCCCATCTGGTCTCTGCACACAAAAGGCTACAAGAGTTAATAATGCATCTAATGCAAAAGTTTCCACAGAACTTTATCTATTTTATGCATTTTAATTGAAGTTAGTGTGCAGTTTGGGGAGTATTTTCTTTACATTTTCCTAAAATGAGGCAATCCAAATAAAACATTTTTTGAGCTATACAAATAATTCCCAAAATAGACATTTGAAGTTGTGTTAAGATTGAAATTTATTGGTAGTAAAAAGTAGCAGGAAAAATCTAGAGGAGAAGCCGGAAAGAACATGATTAGGGGAAATAAGGAATCATTTTTTTCACAGATAACTTTCTAAGGTCATGATGGGAAAAAAATGGTTGCATAACAATAATGATACTAATAATAGTTATAACAGCTAACATTCGGGTACTTATTCTGCTAACCACTTTACAGGCACTATTTCATGTAATCCTCAAACAATCTTGTACAATAGCTTATTATCTCCATTTTAGAACTACTGCTAATGGCTGGAGAGTTAGAATCAGAAAAAAAAAAAAATCTCCCAAACCCAGAAATTGCTCTGTTTCCTGTTTCATCATTTTTAATGATATATTCTCTAGACTGTAGCTTTTAAACAAGTACTCTGGGATGGGAGAGAGTTAAAGATAATGGAAGAAATTAATTCTGGAAGAGAGAAGGCATTGTTTAGAGGCAGGGGATAGAGGAAAGCAGATGCCTGTTTTCAGATGCTAGAAGGAACTCTGGTGTTTTTGA